AGCCCAGGTCAGAAAAGGGGGGCCCTTATAGCGCAAGGTGAAACTGAGGCCTGGAGATGCAAAGGTGCCATTTGCCGCCCGCCTCCCACATAGCCAGTGAGCAGTGGCATGTGCCCTGACACAGCTAGTTAAAGACACCGGGTTAAACCCCTGCTGGGCGACCTCGGTTTGGTGACTTTTCCAGGCTCAGTTTCCTCATCTGACAAATGGGCGCCTGGACAGCCCCAACATCCCCGGCTCGCTTTAGGGGTGAGCTGAGGCAGGGGCGCAGTGGTGCAGCGAAGGCACGAGGCAGATTTTACCACCCATTAATTAATATTAGTATATCACTCTAATGGGATTAATACATATGGTGAACATATGGTGAGCGCTCAAGGGCTGCTGTTGCTCATATTATTATTAGAGCAGCTGGTGGGGAAGGTGAAACCCTCAGCTTCTTTCTCTCATGCTAGCGCTTGAAGCCTCAGTTTCCCCATATGTCAAAGAAGGCATACCTCCTTCCTATCAGGCGAAAGGCATTTTGAGAAGCGTTTGGGCAATAGGAGCGACCGAAGCGCGCCCCGCCCTCTGCCTCAGTTTCCCCTGGCCCGCCGAAGCCCCGCCCTCCATCCCCAGGCCAGGTCCACTATGCTGCGCCCGTGCAGGTGCCTCACCTGGAGCCCGCGGCGCCGCAGGAGGCTCGGCTCGTCCATGGCCCGCTATTCCTTGCCGCCTGCCCTGCCCCGGCCCCGCCCCAGCTTGCCAGGCACCACCATTGGCCAATCCAGTCAGCTGACGCGACCTGACCCGCCCCTGTCGGGAGCTCTCCTGGAAGGCCCCGCCCCCATTGGGCGAGCGGGCCCCGCCCTTCCAGGCCCTGCCCCACCCCCAGAACCTAGAAGTAAACATATTTAAATGAATCCTCCTAGAAGGAAGGGAGCATTATCATCCCCATTTTGCAGATAAGGGAACTGAGGCTCAGAGAGGTTAATCTATGTGCCCAGGGCACATAAAAGAAGGCCGGTTCTAGGGTGAGGTGAGTGAGACACCACTTTCGTGAAAAATTTAAGGCCCACCCCCAAAAAACTAAGTAATCAAGATAAATAATATTTTAATACAATATTTTAAAAAATCAAAACTAATGCAAGAATGCACGATCTACTAAACATCAACATTTTGAATAAAGACAGGACCAAACTCTGCCCTTGCACTACCCTGCCTCACTTGCTTCACCCTAATCCTGGCCCTAGTCCCAATGAAATGTTATTTATAAGAACAAGCAGCCACTGTAGTTGCCAGTTTCTTTTTTGAGGATGACTTACTTTGCCAAGTGACAATTGTGTATCTGGCTAAGTGCCTCATGAGGACCACCTTCCATAGGTATCTGATGATAATTGTTCAGCCCCACTTTGCAGAAAGGAAACTGAGGCTGGGAAAAGCCCAAAGTCCCAAGCTGGCACCCATGCTCTCTCTATCACTGGGACTCCCATTGTCTCTGCAGCTGCAGATTTCTTCAACTACACCACTGTTGGACCTGGACATTAGGGTATGTTGTCAGGCTGGAGGGGTCCATAGTGAAGGTCATCCATCCAATTGCCTGTGAGGTTCTGTAGTTCCTACCAAGTTACTGTGGCCAGATTGAGCACATAAAAATACAGGAATCCCAGGTAAAACTTGTTCTTCTCATAAACATTTTTAAATTGACATAATAGGTGGCAGGCCTGGTGGCTCAGTTGGTTAGAGCACATGCTCTTAACAACAAGGTTGCCGGTTGGATTCCCACATGGGAAGGTGGGTTGAGCACACTGGCAACTATAGTAGATCGAAAGCTGCGACTAGACTTGGAGCTGAGCTGCGCCCTCCACAACTAAGATTGAAGGACAACAACTTGACTTGGAGCTGATGGGTCCTGGAAAAACACAATGTTCCCTTCCCCGATTCCCCAGTAAAATCTTTAAATAAATAAATAAGTTGACATAATAATTCACATACAATAAAATTCTCCTTTTAAAGTTAAAGTCAGAGGTTTTTAGCATATTCACAGAGTTGTGCAACCATCATCACTATCTAATTCCAGAACATTTTCATCACCCCCAAAAGAAACTCTGTACCCATGAACAGTCACTCCCCATGCCCCCTCCCTTAGCCCCTGGCAACCACCAATCTGCTTTCTGTCTCTATGGATTTGCCTGTTCTGGACATTTCATATAAATGGGATCATACAACATATGGCCTTTTGTGTCTGGCTCCTTTTACTTAGCATAATGTTTTCAAGACTCATCTGCATTGTAGTAAATGCCAATACTTCATTCCTTTTTATGGCCAAATAATATTCCTTTATAGATGTACCACTTTTTGTTTATGCATTCATCTGTTAATGGATGTTTGGGTTGTTTCCACTTTTTGGCTGTTGTGACTAGTTTGGCTGTTTTGGCTGCTATGAGCATTCATGTACAAGTTATTGTGGGTACATTGCTTTCAATTCTCCTGGGTATATACCCAGAAGTGAATTCCTGGGTCATATGGTAACTCTATTTTTTAAGTTTTTCAAAAACTACCACTCTGTTTTCCAACACAGACACGGTTGTGGGCTGAATTGTGTTTCCCCAAAATTCGTATGTTGAAATCCTCATCTCCAGGACCTCAGAATGTGACTGTATTTGGAGATAGGGACTTTAAAGAGGTAATTAAAGTAAAATGAGGTCATGCGGGTATATCCCAATCCAATATGACTGGTTTCTTTACAAGAAGAGGAGATTAGGATATAGACATGCACAGAAGGATGACCATATAAAGACACAGGGAGAAGACAGATGTCTACAAGCCAAGGAGAGAGACTCCAGAAGAAAACAGAACTGCTAACACCTTGATCTTGGATTTTCAGCCTCCAGAACTATAAGGAAATAAATCTGTGTTGAAGCTACTCAGTCTATGAAACTTTGTTATGTCAGCCCTAGCAAACTAATACAGCCACCCACTTAAATTCAATTTTAGATAAACAATGAATAATTTTTCTGTATATGTCCCATGCAATACTTGGGATACAGTTATGCTAAAGAGTTACATGTTATTTATCTGAATTTCTAATTTAACTAGGTGTCCTGTGTTTTATCTGGCGACCCTATACTAACTGGACTTTAAATTATGGCTTGCATACTCCAGGTGATGGGAAGCTCATACCCTATAATGGCCAAATGTTTTGTCTCTGGCTGGTTCTGCCTAAAAGGATTCCTGTAGTCCAGGCTGGGGTGGACATGTGACCTAGAGTCTTTATTCACTTGAGCCATTGTGATTGGTTCAAGGTGAACATTTGATTCAAGCTCAGCCAATCAGAGTATTCCCTGAGACTTTGGCTGGAATCCTGAGGAAAAGAGAGGTTCTCTGTACCAGAGGTAGTTGGACTGGGCAAATGGGGAGCTACTGAAGGGGGAGTCACTAGAGAGGTCTCAAATGCCTCTGCTCCATCTGGAGAACTTCTTTCAAAATGACCCCTTGGCCAACAGGGATTCTTTATTGACTGACTGAATAACTGAATGAATGCAATTTTTCCATGGTGTATCTTTCAAAATCCTATGCAGGGCCGGCCGAGTGGCGCGTTGGTTAAGAGCTGGCTTGGGATGCCAGAGGGCCCCGGTTCGGATCCCACATATGAGGGCCAGTGACACTGCCCTCTACAGCTAAGATGCTGAACAACAGCTCAACCTGGAGCTGGGCTGCCATGAGTAGCCCCTGCTGCAGTGGGTTGCCATGGGCTACCATGTGTAGCCAGAAGCCAGCGTGAGCGACCAGCAGCCACCATGAGTGACCATCCAGAAGCCGGCGATTGATCTGCCTCGCCCGGGAAGAGCGCAATGATGGTGCCAAGTTGGGCCAGTGAAGCAACGTCCTCCACAACTAGACTGAAGAATAAAAGGACAGCAACTTGTCTGTTCCCCTTCCCCCAATTCCCCAGCACTGTTCCCATCCCCCAATTCCCCAATAAAAATCTTTAAAAAAAGAAAACCAAAAAAATCCTATGAATCCTTCAAAATCCTATGCATACTTCATAATCCACTTCATATTCTCTTTGAGAAGCATCAGAGAACATTTATTGAAGGAATAAATAGATTTCTTTCTTGTGAACTTCTACACATTTATAAAAACTCTCCTCAGATGTTTCCATAAGGGGCATGAAGGAGTGTGATTGTTGAACGAATGAATGAATGAATTTTTTTCTTAGTAACCTTCTATGTATTCTTTAAAACATCCTTAAATGATCCTCTGCAGGCATGAGAAAGTCCTGGTTGAGGGAATAAAATATGTTCTTACTGGCGAATGATACCTAGTAATGTTTGTTAAATAAATTAATAGATTTTCTCCTTGCTAACTCTTACTCATCCTTGAACATCCTCTTTAGATGCTCCTCAGGAGCAGCAGGGTTTCTTGCCCACATGGAGATAAGTAAGCTTAGCTCTCAGACTGAAGGTCACGCTCCTGTGGAAGAAAGCAGAAGCGAGCGGGTGGAGAAGCTCTGTGGTTCCTCCTGTCAGCATTTCCGATTTCCGGGGGGAGGGGGGGAGGGGAGGTTGTTGTAACCCGATCCTTCCTGACTCTCCCTCCCCCCCCCAGTTTGTGGGGCATCTGAAAATGGGGCAGCCCTGAGGGCGTATCCCAGCTGTATTTCTGGGGCAGCTGGGAGGAGCCAAAAAGGGCCTTGGTGGGGGGGGCTTCCTGACATAGGCAGCAGGCAGGCCAAGGGAGGTGGGTGTGCAAAGACTGCACGGGGTAGGTTGGCTGCGTGAACCTCAGGGTGAGCCTTGGACTGTGATCTCAATAAGAGTAGAAACATCACCTCACGTGTGGCTGGGGTCCTGCCCACACACCCACCATGGCTCCCCTGTGCTCTTGGATGAAAGCCCAGCCCTTCAGCCTGGCACTCAAGGTCCTACCCACCTCACCACCTTCACCTTGCTCACAGAGCCCCAGCCCTGCCATATTCATCTTGGTGTTCCCCAAAGCCTATTCCCTGATGTTTGCTTCTGCTGTGCCTTCTGATGGGTAAGCCCTGTCGTTCTATAAATCAAAAGCTCCCTTCTCTGGACAGTCCTCCCTGCTGCCCTATGGAACACCCTCAGACTCTGCCCTTTCCTGCACCCAACCCTGACCCCAAGGAGCCAGGGACATCTATGCCCAGCTCAGGGAGGCTGCCCCCCAATCACCTCTCTTCTTCCCTCAATGTTTTTCCAGCAGCTGCTCTGATGTTGGGGGGATGGGAAAGAGGTGTGACAAGAGCAGAGGCCACCGAGATGGGGGCGGGGGTGGGGTGGGGTGGGGGGTGTCCCGAAACAATGACTATCAGACTGGCTCTCTGGTAGGCAGCATCCACCAGGAGCCAAGCTCTCCTTATCCTCACTATAGCTCATTGTGCAGCTAGGGAAGCTGAGGCCTGGCCTCCCAACCCAACCTTTGTAAGGTAGGCGGGGGTGCATTCCTTGAGCATGGGCTTTATTCCTGAAGGGGCAAATCTTGGCCCTACTGGTGGGCTGCCTCAGGGTTTGAATTCATCTCTTCACCTCCAGCCCAGGCCTCAAGTGGTCAGGACACCCCTGGGCTCAGTTTCATCATCTGTGAAATGGGGCACGTGATGGCATCTCCTGGCGTGGGAAGTTTCAGGATCGTTGAGAGGGGGCCATGGGTTTGCCCCTGTCTCCAACCATCTCTTCCATCTTTATGTTTCTCTCAATCTCTGTCTCTGTCTCTGCCCCTTCCCAAGGCCTCACACATCAGACCCGAAACCTATTCCACCCCCTGGCCTAGCCTGGGCCCTGCGGTGCTGCTGGTGAAGGCTGCTCTGTGTGGGGTCACAGGGTCCCCGTCCCCACCGTGCCAGGCTTGGAATACTGCCTCTTTGTTCCCGTGGCTCTGACCTCATGGCCCGCTGAACGCCTGACCCTGGCTGGCCCAGCTACCCCCCAAGACTGGGATCCTGCATCTGTTCAGAGGAGGGGCCTCCTTCCTGCCCACCTGGGCTTCAGTTTCCCCAGATGCTGTCTCCCAGCAGAGACTTCACCCTGCTCCTCAGTTTCATGAACTTTTTTTTTAGGTGAAAATCACATAACATGAAACAAGCCATTCTAAAATGTACAATTCAGTGGCATTTAGCACATTCACTATGTTGTGTAATCAGCACCTCTATCTAGTTCCAGAACATTTCATCACCACAAAAGGACACCCCTTATCTTCATGAGCAGTCACTCCCCATCCTTCCTCCCCCAGCCCCCTGACAACCACTAATCTGCTTGCTGTCTCTATGAATTTGCCTGTTCTGGGCATTTCATATCAATGGGATCATGCAAGATGTGGTGTTATGTATCTGGATTCTCTCACTCAGCATCATGTTTTTGAGGTTCATCCACATTGTAGCATGAATCTTCTCCGTGGATATTTTGGGCCTTTGTTGACAGTGGGAAGAGAGGGTGAGACACTGAGACCCCCAGAGGTTGAGAAACAGAGAAAAGACTAATTTGAGTCTAAAGGAAGCAAGGAGACTCTTTAGGAATTGGGACCCAGCTGGAGTTTGGGAAATGGGGAGGTGGGCATTTTGCAGGGCTTAGCATACAGCAAGCACCTCATAACAATTTGTTGGGAGAGTGACCTCAGACATCCAAGAACCTCCTGAGTCTCAGAGAGCTAGAGATTCAGCCAAGGGCACAGAGCCCCAGGCCACACATGGTGTCCAGCTTGGGTCTGGGACCAGCAGAGTTGACCCTCAGACCTAGGGTCTGGGTCTGACTTGTCCCGTGGGTGAATCTGTGGCTGAGATGAGGCCACGATTATCACTCAGCTGACTTCCTGGGTTTCTCTTTCACTTTGACTTGCCCAGGAGGGGCCATGAAACCTAACTTTTTTTTTTTTTTTAATCTCTTTAGTCTTTTTTGCTCAGCTTCAACGTGTTCTGAGGCACTTGAAACCTCACTGGCAGCTCAGAAGCTTGTCTGGGGCCACAGGCCTTGGCATGGACCTAACGGGGCAGCCAGTGGCCAGGCTGGTCCCTCTCCTCCTCCTCCTGCTCCCTGAGAAGGGCGGTGAGTCCTCCACCCACCCTGGTGACACGGCTTTTCTTTTTGCTGAGGGACATGTGTATGGAGGGCCCCAGACCGGGGTTCCTGAGTTGGTTTTGTGTCTCTGTACCTGTCTTTCTCTCTCTGTCAAACGGATAATCAGTGATCATGGCTTCTGGGGTCAGACTCGGGCATCTCCCCTCTGGTCTTGATTTTGTCTCATGTGGAATGTGCTGGATCTTTAAATCTTTCCCACTTCCCAGGGTTCAATGAGAAATAGTTAAGGAAGGGATAATGGGCAAATATGTATATAATAGATCTATCTTACATAGTATTATAGATACACTCTCCCTCCATCTTATAGAATGGGATGGAAGGCCCAGCTTCTTATGGATTACTGGGTTTGGACTCTCACCCCAGCTCTGCTGTTGCTGCTGTGTAACCTTTTGCCTCTCTGTGCCTCAGTTTCCTTCTCTGTAAACGGGATTGGCAAGCTTTCAGGGCCTTTGGCTGTCAGGCAGGGCTGGAGATCAGTGACAGAGAGGGGACCAGGGGACCCTGGATTGCTTTGGAGGAGCAGCCAGCCCCAGAGGTTGATGGGTGGGTAGGCGGGTGAATGGGTGGATGGATGGATAGTTGGCTGGATGGATTCACACATGCAAGGATGAGTGGATGGATGGATGGATGGATGGATGGATGGATAGATGAGTGGATTAATGGATGATATGTAGGTGGGTGCATAGATGGGAAAGTGGGTGGGCAGGTAGATGATCACTTCACCAATCCCCAGGCTGAGCCCCTCTCCCCACGCAGTGAAAGGTGGGACTGTCATTATCTCTTCATTATCTTTACAGCTGAAGCCTGTGGTACCAGCAGGTGCTGTTTTCAGGACCCGCCATATCAGGATGCAGACTCAGGTTGGGGCAGTTCTCCACTGTGGGGTGGGGTTTGTGCTGGGCTCTGATTGATAAATCCCAAGCAGCTCCTTCCTCAGCTTCCTCCTGCCCATCCAAAGATTTGGGCTCCCCTGGGGTCTTGGGAGCTCCAACCCAAGCTCCAGTGTCCTGACGCAGTCACCCTCTCTGAGCCTTGTCTCCTCCCTAGCAGGGTCGTGGGGATGGTGTCTGCGTCTGTTTAGATTAGCCAGCACATGGGGCCAAGTAGCTGTTATATATTTAGAATTTTTAATTCCTCCTCCCCCAGGCAGACATTGCTGGAACATTTAGGCCTGTAATGCACCCCACTAAGGATCTGCCACTGAGTAGGCATGTCTTCCATTCTTTTGTTCAAGAAATATTTACTGAGCATTCACTATGTGCACACACAATCCTAGACATGAAGGAATCAGCTGTAAGCTCAGCTGTCCTCCTGGGGTCACAGCTGCATGTGGGAGGTGGATAACAGACAAATAAATGCTTATACTGCCTGTGATGATGTGCACATCATCACAGGGTGGAGGATGAAGTGGGAGGGGGCTGCTTCTGTTTGGCTGGCAGTGAAGGAGGTGACACTGAAGAAGAAACTAGAATGTCAAGATCTGGGGGAAGGGCACTGCAAAGGCCCTGAGGTAAGAGTGAATCTGATGTGTTTGAGGACCCATGAGGAGGCTGATGTGGCTGCAGCAGGGGGAGCCTGGGAGATGGCCAGAGACAGGTGGGAAGAGCACAGCAGGGTGCTAAGAGCCATTCAGGCTGCAGTGACATTGGATTATATTAAGTGTCACAAAGATTTATTCAAGGGTGTGTCAGCGGGGCGATTCCTCCCCTACTCTGGTCTGTTCTCAAACTTCCAGGATCTCCTCCAGGCTCAGCCTCGGGCCCCAGAGACCTGAACTGCTACCGGATTTTTGGTGCCGATTATGAATGCTCCTGGGAGTATGAGGGCCCTGCAGCTGGGGTCAGCCACTTCTTGAGGTGCTGGTGAGGACCCCTTCCCAGATCCCAAACATTCACCCACCATGCTGCTGTTGCTCCTGACCACGTATTCCTGACCTTAGATGTGTGATCGCAGCCCTGGGCCTCAGTTTCTCAACTGAGCAGGGAGGGTGGAACTCTGTGTTGTGGGAGGTTCAACATGGCTGGACATCCAGGTTGGGCAGCAGTTAGGGTCCCTCTAGTCCTTCTTTCATCCTCACCCTCTCACTTATTTGTTCATCCATTCATCCATTCATCCATCCACTCATTTCTTCCTTCCCTCTGTAGCAGCTCATGTTGAAAGATTTGGGGTCTCCCAAGCTCCTCAGTCCTAGACTGATCCCCAAAAAACCCCAGACTGGGGAGGGGGAGTCAAAGGGGCAAAGAAGGATGCAGGACTGTGATGCACACTGTCTGCTGTGGCTGCTGAGACATTATGGGGCCCACTAGGACCTCAGATTCAGCACTACTTCTTCCCTCAGCCTCGGGCCTAGGCGCTGCTGCTACTTCGCTGCAGGCTCAGCCACCAAGCTGCAGTTCTCTGACCAGGATGGTGTATCTGTGCTCTATAATGTCACATTCTGGGTGGAATCCTGGGCTACCAACCGGACGGAGAAGTCACCCGAGGTTACCCTGAAGCTCTACAGCTCTGGTCAGTACTCTGTTTTCCTCCTCCCCTCTGCCACTTCCTCACCCAGAGATGCCTCTGGTCCTCAAGCCTAGACCTGGGTGAATTCTGGGTCCCTGGCTTGAAAATTCACATATCAGACACTGCTGTGTGACTTGGCAGATTCTTTCATGGTCCCCTTACCTATCTCCTACTGCTGGACACTCAGGTTGCTTCTGGTTTGTTCCTGACACTGCAACGGTGCCAGGACCCTGTTGGGTCTTTAAACTCTGTTTGTATGAGTCAACAACATATTGTACATTTAGTGTGTAGTCATTGAGCCGCTACATGCTGGGCCATAGGGGCCAGGGGCAAGGCCAACAGAGATCACAGACTAAGGCTGGGACAAAAGTGAGTGAAGCATCACCTTGGGTACACAATTTTAAGGGGGTGCCAAAAAAAACCCCTCGGTCGTCAATATAAACAACACTCTAAGGCAATATTTTTAAAATTCAAAATTAATGCAAAAAAATCCATGATGAACAAATATCAAAATTTTAAGTAAAGACAGGATCTGACCCTGTGTTTCTACAACGTTGCCTCACACACCTCACCCTAATTTCAGTCCTGCCTCTGCCTCCATGGAGCCCAGATGTGATCAATATACATTATGAGACACTGCTGGGAGGTCAAGAGAGGCCTCCTGCTCAGGCTGAGTCCTAAAACATAAAATGAATCCAGCAGGAAGAAAGGTGGGGAAGTGTGTTCCAAGTGGGAAAGTGTGTTCCAGGTGGGGAAGTGTGTTTCACAGCAAGTGCAAAAGCCCTGAGGTAGAATCAGGCATGGCATGACAAGATGCAGAAAGAATGATACAATAGATGTCTCTCCTTAGCTCAGATTGCTTGAAGTGGGTCTAAAAAATTAGTAAGATTTCCCTAATAGTCCTTCAGAAAAATAGAATCAATTAATTACCCGCTTGTCAGCAACTGACAAAAGTGCTTGTCTTACCACAACCTTGTCAGTAATGGGTGTTAATATTTTAAAGATCACTTCACTAACAGGATCCTGTGTATAAATTTGGACTCTTTGACCCATAGAATCCAAGGCTCAGGTGGGACCTGCAAGGGTGTCCCTGATTCATGTTTGGGGGACTTGGTTGCCTACGCTGACTAGGCGGGGGGGGCAGATTTTATGGGATTTTCAGGACCAACAACTTACACATGACAGCTTCCCCTCCCAACCCCCACCTTTGTTTCCAGTTAAATATGATCCTCCGCCAGGAGCCATCAAAGTGTCAAGGTCAGCAAGGCAGCTGCGCATGGAGTGGGAGACCCCAGCCCGTCAGGATGACGCCGAGGTGCAGTTCCGGCACCGGACACCTGGAAGCCCATGGAAGTTGGTGAGTTTATTCCCCAGGTCAGAAGTGGGCACAGGCCTCTTCCAAATCAGTATCACCATCTCTACATGTATCACCCCTCTCACCTGGCCTCCGGTCTTGCCCCATGTCTAGCTTCTGAGGTCTCTCTAACATGCAGCTCCAACTGTAATGTTCCTTGTTCACACACTCTCCATGGCTCCCTGTTACTCCCAGGAGGGCACCCTGGTCCAGAGCCAGCCTCATGTGTCCTCTGGCGCCCTCCTTGAATGGCTGTCCTACCCATGCCCTGGGTTTCCAGCATCCTTGCCTTTGCACATGAAGTTCTTGCCACCTACTTGCCCCCCTCTCCTTCTGAGCGCATGTGAATACATGAGCACATGTGATCCTGAGCCACCCTCAGGACCCAGCTCAAGAGCCATCTATTCCAGAAAGCTGCCCTTTCACCCATTCCTTCCTCCCTCCCTTCTTTTTTAAAAATTCAGATATAATTGACATATAACATTAGTTTCAGGTGTATAACATAATGATTCAATATTTGTACATACTGCAAAAGATCCCCACAATAAGTCTAGTTATCTTCCAACACCACACAGAGTTACAGATCTTTTTTTCTTGTGATGAAAACTTTTAAGCTCTACTCTCTTAGCAACTTTCAAATATACAATACAGTATTAGTAATTACGTTGCCATGCTGTACATTACATTCTTATGACTTATTTACTTATAACTGGAAGTTTGTATCCTTTGACCACCCTCACCCATTTTGTCTATCCCCCACCCCCAACTCCCTGTCTCTGGCAACAACTAATCTGTTCTCTGTATCTATGAATTTATTTGTTTGTTTGTTTTGTTTTTTTAAATTCCACATATAAGTGAGATCATATGGTATTTGTCTTTCTCAGTCTAACTCATCTCAGCATAATGCCCTCAAAGGTTCATCCGTGATATTACAAATAGCAAGATTTCCTTCTTTTTTTATGGCTGAATAATATTCCATCATATGTACATATATCACATTTTCTTTATCCATTCCTCCATCTATGGACACCTTGGTTGTTTCCATGTCTCAGTTATTGTAAATACTGTTGCAATGAACTTAGAGGTGCATATGTCTTTTCAAGTTAGTGTTTTTGCTTCCTTTAGATAAATTCCCAGGAGTGGAGTCACTGGGTCACAAGGTAGCTCTATTTTTAATTTTCTGAGGAACCTCCATGCTGTTTTCCATAGTGGCTGCACAAATTTACAATCCCACCAACAGTGTGCGAGGGTTCCCTTTTCTCCACATCCTTGCCAGCATTTATCATCTCTTGCCTCTTTGATAATACCCATTCAAACAGATGTGAGGTAGTACCTCACTGTGGTTTTGATTTGCATTTCCCTAATGATTAGTGATGTTGAGCATCTTCTCATGCACCTGCTGGCCATCTGTATGTCTTCTTTGGAAATTAATTATTCTTCAGCTACTATCTATCCCCTGCTCTGTTTCCCCACCACCACAGCCAGACAATCCTGCACCTGCAAGAAACCTCAGCCCTGACCCAGTCCCCAAGGAGCCCCGGTTTGAGAGAGAGGGAGGCCCCCAGCCTCTGAATTGCGTCCAGTTTCCTCCTTGCTCAGACAAGGAGCATCTCAAGGGCAGAGAGTTGCCTCAGCTTTAGCCCCTTCTTTCCTCCAAATGTTGTGTCCCTCTCTGAGCCTCAGTTTCCCATCAGGTGAATGGGTTCAGAGTAATCCGTGGCCCGTGACATGGGACCTCTCTGTATATTTTATTTCCAGCCCCTTAAGCACAATCTGCAGCAGACCCTCTCAGCCCCCTTTGTAGATGAGGAAACTGAGGCTCAGGATGTCGGGGACCTCTCAGGGTCACACAGGGAGCGTGGGGCAGGCTGGGTCCAGGCTCTCCTGATCCCCAACAGTACAGATAGGTTTTGCCTCCTAAAATAATTTTTTTTAATAAGTGTTTAATTTTGGAATAATCTTAGATTTTCGGAAGAGTTACAAAGAAATATAAAGAGCTCCCACAGAACCTTCCCCCAGCTTCCTTCTCATTAATATCTTATATCCACTTCTGAGATGAACAGGATACATCACTATGAACCAAGCTCCGGAGGTTACTGGGTGTCCCCAGCTTTCCCAAGAACGTCCTCTTGTTGCCCTTGGATCCAGTTCAGGATTCCACATTACACTTAGTAAAATAATTTATTAAAATTTCAAAAGAGCCAATATTTTTTCAACACCAAAATGTAAAACAATATATAAATATGGTCTCATCCTAGGGCGACTGCGGACATCAGGATGGTGCTGGCTTCGGTGAGAATAACAATAGCAACAAAAACAGCTGCAGCAACTTAGCATTAACTGAGCACTTACTGTGTGCAAGGCCAGTGCTAAATTCTTTGTATAGCCGTTGTCCCACCTTGTAGTTCAGTAATGGAGTATCCCCACTTCACAGGTGAGGAAATAAAGGTTTGGGGGTGAGAAGCCATAGGCCAAAGTCACATTCCAAGGGATGGCCTTGTCATGACTCAAACCTGGGAAAGGGGAGGAAGAGGGAGATCCTTGAGGCCCCAAGAGGACATGCCCTGGCCTATTTTTGCCGTGTCTTCAGGGCCCACACACAGTTGGCTCTTAGTAAGTGCCAACAACAGCTAAGTGACCTGTGCCATGCCTCATGCACCCCCAAGTATAGGACAGCCCCTTGGTCTGATGTGTGACCTGTTTTTCCCCAGAGTCATGCCTCTGCCCCCTGGAGAGAGACACAGCCCAGGAATTCCAGCTACGGCGACGACGGCGGTGGCTTGGGCCCAGGCCAGGGACCCCAGGAGACCCCTGGAGCAGCTGGAGCAGCTCTGTGTGTGTTCCCCCTGGTGAGAGCGTCCAGAGTCACAGGAATGGGGACAGAGGGTATTAGAACTAAGGCAACAAGTGTTAGAAACAAGGCAGCAGGTGTTCAAAATAAGGTAGTGGGAGAAATTAGTGAAAATTAGTGACAGGTGGCCGTGAGCAAGTTTCACTTTGTAAATTGTGGTGAATTTGTAATCTAAAAAAAACCATTTCTCCATCTTCCTCTCTTTCCATTTGTTTGGTTGGGTTTATTCTTTTAAAGCTGCCCAAGAAGTTGACAGGTGAAAGTGACTGTGTCATGAAGATATTTTCCCAAATGACACAGGAAGCTGGAGCCTGGACAGCTCCAGAGTGGAGATGTGACTCAGGTGGAGGGAGGGATGGGGTGACTGTCAGCATTTGTCCCTAGCCCTGCCAGCTGGGACCTCCTCCTGCCCAAGTGCATATCTGCTGGGAAATAACTCCAAGACTTGTTTTCAGATTTTTCTTTAAATTGTGGTAAAAAACACATAACATAAAATGCACCATTTTACCCATTCTTAAGTGTCCAGTTCCATCGCGTTAAGTATATTCATGTTGTGGAACATTATCTATTATGTTTTCAGATCTGGAAAAGTATTTAAGAACCCATGGAATCCTGTATTAAATGGGAGGGAAGAAAAGGTCCCCAGTCCCCATCCAAGGTCTGAAGGAGGTTGTGAGGAAGGGCACCCCCATCCCCTCTAGAGTCAGTCTTGCTATCTCATGGCAGAAACCCCCCCACAACCTGAGGTGAGGTTCTCGGTGGATCCACTTGGCTCAGATGGGAGGAGGCGAGTGACCCTGCATGGGCAGGTAACAGGGCTATCGCAAGGCTGCAAGGTGGCCTGGGAATGGGGAGGAGGACACAAGAGGCTGGGGTGGGGATGAGGGGGGCGGGGGGAGGTGGTGTGCAAGTGGGAGATGGAGGGAGACAAGACGTGGAGGTGGCAGAGACTGGGAGGACCATGGGTTTAACTCTAAAGGTAATGGGGAACCATGGGAGGTGTGTGTACAGAGGAGGGATATGACTGAACTAGGTGTTCACAGGTTCCTTCTGGCTACCATCAGGGGAACAGATTGTGGGGGAGGGGGGTCTGGTGAATGCTGGAAGACTAGGAAGGGGTCATTTGTGTTGGTCTGGATGGGAGATGATTTCTTTGAAGTCCCCAAAACAACCCATTTAGTACAGTCTAATTAACCCCATGAGGCACAGAGAGAAAATTTCTTGCCTGAGTCAGGAGTAAAACCATGACATATTTCACCCACTGGCTTCACTGTAACCGACTCAGCCAGGTCCCCAGTGGGCCATCACAATAAGTCAACAGGGAAGCTCCTTCACTTCCAAGGTTTACTCTCATTTGAGTTCCTTTTATTAGGAAAAATTTCCAGGCTTGAAGTCACTGGATCCAAAGATGGAAAACTTTTCTTTCCTGGCTCTCAGTATGTTTTCCCAAATTACCGCCCACCCCTGCCCCCTCCCAAAAAACCCAACATGCACTGGAGGTGAATGCCAGTTTTCCAGCAGCCTTGCCAGCATTGGGGTTTATTATTTTTAAAATTTTTGGTGCATGTCATTGGCTGTGGCCTGTGGATGAGTCTGTGTTCATGGGCTGTGCCCTGATGTCAGCCCACAGGGACAATGAACATGTTCAGGTCTCCATAAGCCATCTCTCCCACTCATGACAGCTGCCCCAGCTCCAACTTCCAGAAGGCTGCCGTGGGCCCAAGTCTGGCGCAGAGGTGACCTACTACCTCCACCTGCACATGCTATCCTGCCCGTGTAAGGCCCAGGCCAAAAGAACCCTGCGCTGGAAGAAAACGCTTGACCTCTCGGGTGCTGCTTACGACCTGGCTATCATCTCCTGTGATCGCTTCGGCCCAGGCCCCAACCAGTCATGGCACATTCCTGCCCACACGCACAAAGGTGACTCCTCCAGTTGGGGAGGGCCATGGGAGGGCCCCTCAGAGCTGAGCACCTACTCTGAGCCTCAGCTAGACTAGGGAGAGATGGATCAGGCACAACAATTTAAGGAAGTGTCTAATTTATGGGTGTATCAAAGTCAGTAATCAGGATACATAATATTTTAAAAAATTCTCACTGCAAACTACAGCCAAGGCCAACTGCCTGTTTCATAAATAAAGTTTCATTGGGACATGGGTCGGGAAAAGGGTGTGGCAAGTGAGGCAGGGTCATGCAAGTACAGGGTTGATTCTATCTTCACTTAAAATCTTGATACTTTGTTCAACATATATGTATATACACACACATATTAAATATATACATATATTTATATATAAAATAAAAATATTTATATTTATGTATATATGTATGAGGTATGATCAAAACTATGGTGAATGTCTAAATTTTAAAAATTTATCACAGTAAAAGACACATTGCCATCAATCCCCCTCAAAATACTCTTCCTCACTTTGAACACACTTATCCCATCATTCTTGCCACTTTCTGAAGCAATTCTGGAAGTCCTCTTTTTTGTCTTTAGTTGCACTGTCTTGGCTGCCTCACCATCCTGAATCATTTTGACTTTGGGGAAGAGCCAGAAGTCACACGGTGCCAGATCCGGTGAATAAGGTGGGTGAGGACACACCATAATGTTTTTATTTAACAGAAATTGCCACATACCAGAAGCAGTGTGTGATACAGAGCATTGTCATGATGGAGGATGATTTATGGCATGCTTTAAAACACATCTTCTCTCAACTCACACACCCGACTGACTGCACCAAACAAGTTGAAACTTGTCACACTGTTATTTAGGCTCGATGTGCAGTTTCCCATATTGAAGATGCCTGCCTTTCCATTAGATGGCATTCGGCGGCAGCATTCACTGTATTTTTTTTTAAGGCAAATACATTTTTGTTGTTGTTTAATTTTATTGGGGATTTAGAGGAGAGGAACAGCGTTGGGGAACCCGGGAAGGGGAACAGACAAGTTGCTGTCCTTTTGTTCTTCAGTCTAGTTGTGGAGGATGTCGCTTCACTGGCCCATGTTGGTATTATCATTGTGCTCTTCCTGGGTGAGGCAGATCGGTCGCAGGCTACTGAACTGCCTCTCACGGTGGCTTTTGGCAGCTCACGCTGGCTGCCGGCCACTCACACCAGCTGCCAGCCACTCACGGTAGCTTATAGCAGCCCACTGCAGCTCCACTGCAGCCTACGCCGTCACCAGTGACTCACAGCAGCCCAGCTCCAGGTTGAGCTGTTGTTCACCATCTTAGCTGTAGAGAGTGTGGTGTCACTGGCCCTAATGTGGGATCTGAACAAGGGCCCTGCTGCAAAGAGCTGGCATCCCAGGCCAATTCTTTACCAACGTGCCATTCGGCCAGCCCTCACCATATCTTTTTATCACAATGGATCACACATTGCATCTGGTAGGGCAATTTCTGTCAAATAAAAACTTTACGGTGTGTCCTCATCTACCTTATTCACTGGATTTGGCACCATGGGACTTCTGTCTCTTCCCCAAAGTCAAAATGACCATGAAAGGTAAACGTTTTGAATCGATTCAGGACATCGAGGCAGCCACAACAGCGCAACTAAAGACACTCACGAAAGAGAACTTCCAGAACCGCTTCAGAAAGTAGAAAGTGGCAAGAATGATGGGATAAGTGTGTTCAAAGACAGGGGGAATATTTTGAGGGGGATTAATGGCAGTGTGTCTTTTACTGTAATACATTTTTAAAATTTAAACATTCACCATATTGTTTGATCGCACCTCGTATGTACTGGGGGTGCCAAAAAATGTATACAAATGGATACTTTGGTCAACATTGCTCAAGCAGTAGTTCACTGTAATCAGAAGTGTCTGGACACTGATGGTAACCACTTTGAGCACCTCTTGTAATTGCAGAAGTCAAACATGACTTGTAGTTATCTTTTATTATTGGTATATATTATTACTATTTTAATAGTTTTTTTCCTTTCTTAAAATGTGTATATGTTTTTTGACACCCTCTGTATACACACATGTATATTTTATCAAGTTGAAATTCACATAACAAAATTAACCATTTTAACGTGTGCAATCCAGTGGCATTTAGTGAATTCACAATGTTCAGCCACTACCTCTAATTCCAGAACATTTCTGTCACCTCCAAATGAAACTCCATCCTCATTGGCAGTCACTCCCCATTCCTCCTCCCTGCCGGGCCCCTAACAACCACTAATCTACTTTCTGTCTCTATGGATTTGCCTGTTCTGGACATTTCACATAAATGGAATCACACACTGTGTGGTCTTTTGTATCTGGCTTATCTCACTCAGTATCATGTGTTCAAGGTTTATCCATATTGTAGTGTGTGCCAGTGGCTCAGTACTTTTTATGACTGAGTAATATTCCATTGTGAGGATGGACCACATTTTATCTGTTTATCCACTGATCTACATTTTAGCAATTATAAATAGTGCTCATCACATATTTTTGCACTAATTTGATTTTTAAAAAATATTTCATTGAGGCAGTGTTTATCTTGATGATTGAGTTCTCCTCACCTTGAATTTTGTGCATGAGATGAGTGCCTCACTTGTCTCACCTGGTCCTGGTCCTGGTCCTGCTGAGCACCCAACAATCCTGCAAGGGCAGGGCTGCTACGATGATGCCCGTTTCAGAGCTGAGACAATGGAGGCTCAAACAGGTGAAGCCACTTGCCAAGGTGGCACAGCAGTGAGTCTGCCAGTCCCTGGCCTGGTTTGGGCCATGGCCTCACTGTATGACATTGGGCTAGTGGCTTTCTCTCTCTGAGCCTCAGTTTCTGTATCATTGGGGTAATCATTGTCCCACTGCATAGTAAAGTGGTGTCTGTAAAGTGCTCGGCACTGAACTGGCACATACAGTTGGTGTTCAGTAAATGGTAGTTGTTGTCTCCAGAATTGGAAACAGCACCAACCTCTTTGAGGTTGCTGCAGATGCCTTTGCTCTAGGGAGTGGGAGAGATGTGCCCAGGGGACTGAGTGGGTGCATCCTCGGCTTCTAAACTCTGGTCAGGCACCACCCACTGATGGGTAAGGTGGGTGGGGGTGGCCAGGCATCTGCTCGGGCAAGAGATGCCCACTAAGCTGGTGTAGGGATTGTGTCAGTCCGGGGAGCATTGATGGGGATGAACTGGCAGGGAACCCGTGGTCAGGTTGGGGGAGGACTCACCTCATTCAAACAACCCATCTGTTCCCTCTGTACCCAGTTCCCCACTAGGCAGCCCTCAGTGTGGGGAGACAATCCAGGCCCTATGGGGTAGAGCTGAGCAAGAAGGTGGAGAGGGGCTACAGGACCCTTGTGGTGGGTGGACTGAGGCAGCTGTCCTGATTGCCTCCCTGTCTTCTTCCAGAACTAGGAGCTCTGAATATCAGTGTCAGGGCCAATGGGACCACTATGAGTTGGCCAGCCCCAGCCCCACACCTGACGTACTGCATCGAGTGGCAGCCCCAGGGCCAGGACGGGAGCCCTGCTACCTGCACCCTAACTATGTCCGAAGACTGGAACCCTGCTCGAATTGGTACCATGATGGCACTTGCCCTCTATCTGCCTCTGTGTCCTCCGTTAGAAGTCTTGGTCAGCTCAGACCTCCAGGGACTGTACATGGTATCTGAGGCCCAGAGAGGTCTTGCCACTTGCTTGAATCACTCAGAGGTGGTGACAGCCTAAGACTCAGACCCTCCTCCCCCATGCAAGCTGAAGCCTCCTGCTGGGAACTTGGGGTGTCAGGGCTCAGCCCTGGGCAGATGATACCCAGGCGGGTAATGAGTCTCACATTCCAGGGTGTTTCTTAAACATTCACCCTCGCCAGGGAAGGTGGCAGCTAGCAAGACACTGGTGGCAAATTAATGAGGCCTCTGGAGGAAAAGAGGGAGTGCTATATGGCCCAAACAGCCTCTTATTCTCTCACTTCTTGCCCTGGGCCTGGCTGGGGCCCCAGAAAACCTCAGCCTCAACCTGTCTCTCAAAGAGCTCCCAGCCTGGGAGATAGAGCTGGATACAGATATCCCTGTCCCATGGAATAAGGGCTGGGTTGGAGTGGGTAGGGGCGGGTTAAGGGATGGAACAGAAGGGATCCTGGAGGAGGGGACATTGTTTCAAAAATTTTAAAGCATGAGTAGGAGTGCTCTGGAAGTTCCTGGCAGATGGCACAGCCAGTGCAAAGGTGCAGAGGTGGGAACACAAACTATTAACTGGCCTGGCCCTTGCTGATTCTTCCAGCAACCCACCACTGGAGCCAAGTATCTGGGGCAATGTGGCAGAAGACATGTTACCGCATCACCGTCTTTGCCTCTGCACGCCCAGAGAAGCTCACCTCATGGTCCACCGTCTTGTCTACTTACCACTTTGTGGGAAATGGTGAGTGGCCCAAACCTGCAGGCAGATAACTTCGGGGGAACTCAGCAGTGGTCTTGGAGGTCAGGGGAATGGAATAAGCATTTAGAGGCACCTACTGTGTGTTGGGCCCTGGCCAGAAGCCGGACACATAGAGTCAGCTCAGTTGACTGCTAAGATACCCGGAGAGGCATTGCCCGATTTCATAGATAAGAAAACTGAAGCTCAGAGAGGGGAAGTGACAGGGCCTGAGTGGTAAAGCTGAGATTCTGTGGCCAAGGTTACCTGTGGCCAAGGACAGTTCTGGGCTGGAAGTGCTTAACCAGCGCTGTTAGAATTGACTGTGGCGATGGTGCTGGTTGCAGCCTCGGTGGCAGGGAGCCCACAGCACATGTCGGTAAAGATACTTGGCCTGAACTCGGTCTCTGTGGACTGGATGCCATCCCTGCTGAGCACCTGCCCCGGCATCCTGAAGGAGTATGTCATTCGCCACCGAAATGAGGACAGCGACCAGGTATCTGGTATGTGGGGCAGCACAGGCCTGGCTGGGGAAGGAAAGGGTCTAGGCCTGAGTTACACCTTGCTGTGTGACCTGGGCATCTCACTGCCCCTCTCTGGGCTTGGTTTTCCCACCCATAACACAAGAGAGTTGGACTCAAAGGCCTTGACTGCCCCTTCTAGACACCCAGAGAATGCCAGGTGGGCATTGGCCAAGTGCTCCTGATATGCCAGGTGCATGGATGGCAATCCTCAGGTGTATCAGCAACCTGACTTCCATGGTCTGATAGCTCAGCTGGGAGGGACTGGAAATAACCCACCCCCTGAGCCTGGCCTCCTAGGAGTAAAGGACCCATGGCTGCCTCCTCCCTACAGAGCTGCCCGTGAATTCCACAGAGACCCAGGTCATCCTTGGTGGCTTACAGGCTGGCGCAGCCTACTGCGTGCAGGTGCGAGCAGACACGGCAACACTGAAGGGTGCCTGGAGCCAGCCCCAGCACTTCCGCATGGGTGAGTGGGGGGACAGGGGCAGGGCTTGAGTATGTACTCAGCATGCACTGCCCCATCCCACCTGCATCTGCAAGCAGTCCCGCCCTCCATGCATTGCCCTCAAGAGACAGTCCCTGCCTTCACCAGCTTTGTTTCCTATACCTCCCCTCTTGAGCTTTGTCTCATATTCCTGTGGCCTTGATCATGAGGCCCCCTCTGCCTGGAATGTTTGTTCTCCTTGTCAAACTCTTATTCATCCTTCAGAACAGAGCCCCAAAGCCCCCTCCTCCAGAAAGCCTTCTGTGTTTCCCTCGGGGTGCCCCCCAGCTGTGACTGCCCTTCCTCCATACCTGACACCTTGGGAATGCATGGAGGTGTCTGTGTCTGGCTCTGCCTCCCCCAGCTGGAGGCCCCTGCAAAAGAGGAGGGAGCAGGGGGACTGTTTATTGAGTAAATGAATGAATGCATATGAATGAATGAATGTCTGTTTCTCTCAACACAGAGATAAAGAGGTGGGTTCTATAGTTGGGGTGTATGGCTGTGAGAGATTTGGAAACTAAATGATCCCTGTTCCTGCCATGGTCCCTGACTGTTGTTCTTGCAGTGAATTCTGGTCCCAAGAGAACGAACCAATAAGTCAGTTCTGGTGTGGGTTGGGCAGCCCTGGGTCTAGGGGAGCTACAGAGTCCTGAGCACTTCCTGTGTTCCAGCCTTTGTCCTGCAGTCATGGGGCAGGTGGGTCCTCAGGTCTCCCACTTCACAGAAGAGGAAACTGAGGCATTGTGGGGCCCGCGGTGTGCTAGGGTTAACAGCAAGTTGATGGAGGGTCTGGCCCACCAAGCTCCCTCTTTGTCTATAGGGGGGAGGTATCTCTCCCCTAACCCAAGCTCTCCTGCCCCCAAGAAGTCCAGGTTTTCGAGTTGTCCGATTTGTCCATTTTCCTCGCATCTCTGGGGAGCTTCCTGACCATTCTTCTCCTGGGCGTCCTTGTGTATCTCAGCCTGAACAGGTAATTTGCACCCTCTCCCCGACATGGTTCCCCGACAATAGGGATAGTAACAGTAATAGTAATAACTGCTCACACCAAGTAGGGATTTGTGCCCACTTTACAGATGAGGAAACTGAGGCCCAGATGGTCAGGGCATCCAGCAGTGGGGGAAGAACTGAGATGTGACCACCGGTCTGTCAGATTCCTGCACTCCCTTCCCCTTATCTACATCCTCACTCCCTTTGTAACTTAATGAAGATGAAAAAAAAAATCAGAACAATGAAAGAGTAGAAACAGACAGAAGCACTGCTCCTCTGATTGGCTCCCCTCCCCCTTCCCCAGGGCCTTTCGGCACCTGTGCCCACCACTGCCCACGCCCTGTGCCAGCACTGCTATTGAGTTCCCTGGAAGCCAGGGGAAGCAGGTAAGGGCTTTTTTTCCTAATTCCAAGTCCTGTTTATTGGGTCCGTACTCTGGGCCAAGGCTCTGCTGAGTAACTGCTATGTATTAGCTTATTTTATTCTCCCCCAACCCACTGAGGCAGGGACTCCAAAAACCTGTTCTATTTCATATACAGGAAAGCCGAGGCCCAAAGAGGAACCTCCTGTGGGCCATTTCCTAGCAGCAGAAACAGAACTCAGAGTGGTTTCAACCCAAAGGAAGTCTAATGGAAAAAAATCCCGGGGTGGTGAACTTCAGGCATGGTTGGATGCAGGAACTAGGGATCCATCTCTCTATATTGCTGTCCTTTCTATAGGATCCTCTCCCAGGCAGGCTCAGCCTTCCCACATGGAAGAGGATGTCCATTTTCCCCATTAACTGGAGCAAAACTCTCAGGGTCATCACTGATTGGCCCAGCATGGATCACATGCCCATCCCTGAGCCTATGGCAGAAACCAGGCTGGAGTGATCTGATTGGCTGGGCTAGGGTCATATGCCTGATCATGTCAACTAAGAGAAAAGCAGGGACAATTTCCCAAAGAGAACTGGGTGTGGGGGGGGAAGCCTTCCAATGGATCCTCAAATTGGTCTCAAGATTTTAGAGAATTTAGCCAGTAGGGACCTGGTCCATGCCATCCTTGTAGGGATGGGAAATAGGTCCCCGCCCACAGCCTTGGCCCCACCCTCCCTCTCCAGGCTTGGCAGTGGACCAGCTCAGCAGACTTCCTGGAGGAGGAGGAGGAAGAAGCCCTGGTGGTGACCATGCCCTGGGACAAAGGCAAGGGGCCTGACCTGGACACACCTGGGTCTCTCAAGGACAAGATGGAGCTGCCTCCGAGTGCCCCTGAGCCAGCCATAGACACAGAGCTGCCCTTGGAGGAGAGGAGACAGGTGCAAGGATACCCTGAGGCGGGGGCTCTGTGGCCTAGGGAGCAGGACAGTCTGGAGGGCAGCCCTGCCCAGGCAGCTGGACTGCCACTGCTCCTGGAAGACCTAATGCAGAGCCCCAGGTCCTGAGGGAGAAAAGGGAATGTCCACCTCATCTTATGGACAGGAAGACTGACGATCGCAATTATGGTGACTGGTGATTATGTGCTGATTGCACACCTAGCCTGTTCCATGCAGTCTCTCACATGATGTCTGAGGTACATGGATATCCTATTTTACAGATGTGACCACTGAAGTGCAGAGAGGGTGAGTGGCTCGCCTGAAGCCACACAGCACAGGGGGAGTTAAACTCCGGCCAAGTGACCCAGATCCCATTTCTACCTCCCAGCCTCTGCCACCATTGCACCCCCCCACCCCCCCGCCACTTTGTCCAGTACCTGTTGCAATATGACCTGTGAGGGGAATCTTAGAAACCGCCATGAAACAGAAGCTGCTACAATACATCAGGCTGGGCCTGACATCTTGGGCAGGGACAGGCACCGTCATTGGCCTGTTGGGGTGAGGCTAAGCTGATCCCAGAACCCTGGGCTGGGTGTTCTGTCCCAGCAGCACTGGAATGGGGAGTCTGGGAGCTCTCCCCTACACTGCAGGGTTTCCAGGCTTAGATGATCTAGGGCTGTAACATTCCTGGGGAGATGAACGCCTCTCCCCAGCCTCAGTCTCCTCCCCTGTAAGATGCAGGTGATAATGTTGACTCCTCATAGAGCTGTTAGGGGGTCTAAGCCTTAATAAATGAGCCTTCTCTTTGGTGTCTTTTCCCTGGCTGAAGCCTGAATTCCTGCTCAAAATCCCCAAATAGGAGCCTGAGCTTTCATCCATTCATTCATTCCACATACATTTATTAATCTCCCTTTCCGGGCTCCTCCAAGAACACCCATTCTGAGAGAGACACAGATGGATGATCACTCTGCAAAGTCAGGACTGGGCAGGGGAAAGGACGGCCGCAGGGGGAGTGAGGCTGGGTCCCCCACCCCCCATAATAGGAGCCTTAGTTGCCCCCCGGCCCCACCCCTCCCAGGGGTCGGTCTGCTCTCCTCCATGGGCTCAGGCCGGGACTTGGGGTTCCTCCCTCATTCTCACACTCAAACCCCGGCAGCCAGACCCATGTCTCCCACCCCTATACACACCCTGAATCCGCTGCTTCCAGCCCCATTCCCCGCCTTCGTTCCTTCTATCCTAAAATGAGTTGTCGCAGATTCCTGTTAGGGCCACCAGGTGGTAGCAGCGACGCGTGTCTCCCAGGCCTAGCCCTCTCTGCCCCCGCCCGCCTCCCACGGAGTTTGCAAAACAGAGAACTTTTTAAAACCGGGTGGGGGGCAGAGATAAAAACTCAGAACCACTGAATTTTATGGCAAAAGAAGATGAAGCCTCTGGGTGAAGGCAGTCAGGAAGCCGGTAAGGCCTGTAGGGGAGAGGATTCAGGCCCCGCTGCTTTGGGGAGGGGGGAGGGGCTCAATTTCCCATCTATACGTCTAGATGGGTGATACAGAAGCCTTAGCCTCGGCGCTCCAGCTACATGTGGTTGCTCACTGTTTCCACCCTTGGATTTGCCACCTCCCAGCTTTTGCACAAACCGTGCCCTCCACCAGGCATGCCCTCGCCTGGAGGGTCCCCCTCGCCTGGAGGGTCCCCCTCTTCATTCCTTAGGGGTGGGCTCTAGATTGAGAAGGTGGCCAGGACAGTGGCAAGGCCAAGTGGACAGACAGGAGAGGATGCTAGGTTAGCAGCCTCATGAGAAAGACCTGGGTGACTTGACTCCCCTCAAGTCCAGAACCCTCCATCCCTACCCCCCACATTGGAGACCCAGGGAGCCAAATGACCCCATGCGGGCATTCCCACCCTTGGGCCCACACAGTAGCACAAGACCCAGTTTGGTGGCCCCTGGAGTTGGCTAAACACTTACCCCTAGGCACAGCCCTCTGGATCCAAGAAGCAGGAGTTAGATGTTTGAGCCTTGCCTGGAACTCTTGCTGAAGTGAATGGGAAAAGGGACACCCTGCTTCCATGGGGAAAGACTGAGCCTGCCTCGGGGAGAAGGCTGCAGGGGGAACAGCAGGAGAGAGAGAGAGAGAGAGAGAGAGAGAGAGAGAGAGAGAGAGAGAGATGGATCCTTAGTCCCTGGATCCAGCCATGCCTGAAATCCACCACCCTGGGATATTTTTTTTTGTTTGTATTTTTTCATTGGGTTCCCTTTTTGTTAAAGCCAATTTTAGTTCTGTTTCTGCTGCTAGGAAATGGCCCACAGGAGGTTCCTCTCTGAGCCTCTGCTTGCCCATCTATATAATATGAAGGAGTTCAGGGCACTGATTGCTGTTGCTACCTCAGTGGGTTGGGCAACCCTGTTTAGCAGAGCCCTGGCCCAGTGTTTACTGAGCACCTGCTGTGTACTTATTACCCTGGATTCCTCTGAGTGTTAATCCCTCAGGTCCTCCCAGCAGCACTAGGAGCCAAGATTATGGTAGACCTCATTTCATTCAGGAAGTCAGTGTTGAGCACCTACTGTCTACCAAGCCCTGTCCTGCACAGGTCCCATCATGAGGGGCTCCTGGTTGGGTGGCGAAGGCAGATGGTAATCTAATCATGATACAGACTTACAATAAACCTTAGGAAAGTGACAAGTTAAAGTGTGAAAAATGGGGGTGAGGGAAGACTTCTTGGAAGAGGTGTGCTAGGGCCAAGATGGTGAAGAGAGGCTAGAAAAGCAAAAGCAAAGGTCCTGAAGCAGGTGTGGTTGGTGGGAATGGGTGAGGGGGAGATAGAGGTCACAGCCCACGGGGCTGGAGACATATAGGTTTATTCTTAGGCTGGGGGTGGGAGTGTCCTGGAGCTAAGGAGTCGAGGCCAGATTTGTGACTTCTCCAGATTCTTCCTGCTCTGGTTCAGCACAGAACAGGTGATTCAGCATTGCTGTCCCTAGTGTTCTGGCTGTAAAATGGGTAAAGTGACCTCTCCAGAGCCCTTGTGCCCTCCTCACCTCCTGTCCTCTATTTCTGTCTTGGGCTGACTTTCCCTCTCTCTTTTTAAAGATTTTATTGGGGAATCGGGGGAGGAGAACAGCGTTGGGGAATCGGGGAAGGGGAACAGACAAGTTGCTGTCCTTTTGTTCTTCAGTCTATTTGTGGAGGACATCGCTTCACTGACCCATGTTGGTATTGTGATCATTGCGCTCTTCCCTGGTGAGGCAGTCACTTGCCGGCCATTGGACGGCTGCTCACGGTGGCTCACGGCAGCTTGCGAAAGCTCATGCCTGCTGCCGGCCAGCCCCGCTGCAGCCTACGCCATCGCCGCGACTCACGGCAGTCCAGCTCCAGGTCGAGCTGCTGTTCACCATCTTTAGCTGTAGAGGGTGCAGTGTCACTGGCCCTCATGTGGGATCCTAACCGGGGCCCTGCTGCTCAGAGCTGGCATCCCAAGCCAACTCCTAACCAACGCGCCACTCGGCCAGCCCTGACTTTCTCTTTCACCATGGCTCCCAGCAGGAAGCAGGAAGCTTGTCTCCATCAGGGAGACAAGCTGCCTCAGTTTACCTCCCCAGATACCTCCCCCACTCCGTCTCTCGGTGACTTCTGGGTTTGGTCAGAAAGAGAAGTTGTCTCTACCTCTGCCCTCAAGCCAGAGTGGGTCTGGGTTGTCAGGGCCCTCTGGGGACCATGGGCTGCAGGAGATGACATAGGACAGCCCTGACCTGGCCTCTCACGCTTCATGACCTGCACCCCACAAATGCCAGGAATGCCTTCCCCCCATTTAGGCACCTTTGCCCATTTTCCTTTTTTTTTGTTTTTTGGTGTTTTTTTAAAAAGATACCCCATACAAATCACCCTTTTAAAGTGAAAGTTAAGTGGCATTAAGACATTCACAATGTTGTGCAATCATCAGCTCTATCTAGTTCCAGAACATTCCATCACCCCAAAGACTGTCCTCAGGAGCAGTCACTTTTTTTTTTTTTAAGATTTTTTTTTTTTTATTGGGGAATTGGGGGAA